CCGGAGCACTGCAGTTCTTCAAAACACGTGACTTTGCTCTGAACTCCGGGCAACTCGGTCTTAGAGAGAAGAGTGTGGTTCCCGTTTGCCATCTGCTCAGTCCACGTGGCCAACATGAGCTGAGTCTCTGAAACTTCTTGAAAACATGAGCCATTCTGAGCTCATCCCCACCAGGGATGTGCAGACGGGTCACGCCGTCAGACGGGACAATTTCATGGGCTACGGAGGGAACTTTAACTTAAAACTTTTAGACTGTTTTACACCAAGAAGCCATCAGCTGATGCAGTGGTTCAGTAGATGTCTGCAGTGAACTTCAGTGAACTTCTGGACGTGGCCGTAAATCCCTGTATCTGCTTCACTCCCCTTTAACTACCCCATTAACTGATGACTAAGGGCAAAGGCCTGAGAGGGACCCACCCGTCTCATAACTTCCTCTGTCACCTCACGCAGCAGACCCACCTGCTAACTTCAAAGCACAATCCGTGTAACACAATATTTTCTTACGTTTAATGAAATAAACTTGATTATTTTTGAACATTCATTCCACATACTCATTTTTGGCACAGGACTTGAACTTTCCCATGCTCACACCAAACACCTCCCAATCCCTCCCAGCAATTGGTTTCATCATACTGGGCTGCATATGTCAGCTAGAGCAGAAAACATTGCTGGCAGGAAAAACTTCCTGCGGGCTGTGTCCTGGTGGTTGCATTTGCCCCACAGGCCTACGACTCGGCGTCCCTCTGAGCGAAGTGGGCTGGGGCGGCAAAGGGAGGCAGCTGGGCCCCGCGCCCATGCCTGGAGTCCTACCCACAGGTAGTTACGTGAAGTGCGAGAGAAGGAAAACGCCAAGTGTGGCAGGCGGGAGCCTGTGACTTCTTTTGGCCATAAAGACAAAGCCACTCAGACACACTGTTCACTTCCTGGCTCCGTGTATTTTACATAAACCACTGTAGATACTCAGGAGAAAAAACACACAGTGGCCCGTAAAACACAGTACTAGGACGTGGCAATTCCGAGTTGTGAAGACACAGCCAGAAAAAAAGATCAGAGCACTTTCAAGGACTTGATTTAACAGACACTAAATATATAGATTCCACTAACTACCGTAACAGTCTTGTAGTTAACATATTTTAAGCCAGATAATTCTAAAGAACACTCCATATTTAACATTAGAAAGAATTATATAATTGGATCAGAGACCATTTGACAATGCACTAGCATGGAAAAAATCCAGAGCTCAATTATGTAGCTTTTAACGTGCAGCTGATGTTACATGCAATTGCTCTCCGTAAAGCAAGTGTTTTGCGCATGCAATTAATTTTAACTTAACTTAAAAAGAACATTTCGTGGGAGGACACGTGATGTTGAGCAGAACAATGAGAACAGACGCCACAACCAAGAGACACTTTTCATTTCTCTGTCATGTTTTACTTCATCTGAACAAGATCCATCTAGTCCACAATATCAGGGCCCATAACTCAGCTCACTTACCCTCCTGGGGCCAGGTGATGAGACGCGGGCCCCTCACCAGCTCCCGGAGAGAATCCTGACCCATCTAAACGTACTGAGGTAATTCCGTTCCCCTGGCTAGGGCCCACGCTGGGCGCGGGCGGACAGGGCCAATCTGCCTGGAAGTTTCTGAGGAAGGGAGTCTTAATTTAAACTCCAAACACAAATACACCAAGAGGCGGTACCGGAACTTGGGCGGCCACCCTGGGGCCTAAGGGGAACCAGCACCAGAGCCCAAACGCGTGCATTAGGCTGGGTTCTCGCCGCCGTCTCCAAGATGCTGAAATAACCAGCCCTGAGCGGCCCAACGCTGGCATGCCTGTTTCGTGAGATAATAAGCCCTTTCATGGTTTTGGACATTTTGGTTGAGCCTTCTGTTATTTGCCCGAAAAGCACTCCAACTCACACAAAGAGCTTTGGCGGGAATTACAGACTCCCCAGGGAAGAGTATCTTGGGTTTAAAATTTAAGCAGCCTGGAATTTGCAGGGCTGTTCCCTCTCATCCCAGTTACTCACCATCAAAAAGTGGTGGTCCTCAGGTTCAGCTCGGAGATATTTAAAAATCACTTGTTCCATGAACCTCTCCATTAGATCCCAGTCTTCAATTATTCCATGTCTTATCGGCCACTAAAGCAAGAGAAACCAAGCTATGTCAAGCTTCAGTTCACATCAGTAAGAGCAGCAGTTCAAAAGCACTGGCCAGGAAGAGACCGAGTTATCAGAGAAAACAGGTCCTTTGCATGGAGTGAATGTTAATTTATTAAAGAAACAACAGGCACTTCACCAGAAAGATTAAGTTATATTATTGTTTATATTCTATTCCACGTCTCTAAGTACAAAGTGTCATCTTAACAATGGTAACAGGTGGAAAGCACAGCTAATCCACGGTACCATTCCATCTGGAGTTTGGGGGTTTTCAGAACAAACGTCTAGTGAAGTAACTTCAGTGCTCCTTTTTAATTAATCACTCTGCAGCTCTTCTACATCTGACAGGTTAGTGAGTCAGCCTGCAGTCTTCCACAGGAGCCGGTCTTGCTCTTGCTCGAAGCCCAGCGTTCCCGGAGTCAATCCTGCATTCCGGGGCTTTGTAAATTCACTTGATTTCCCACATAGAAAATACCTTGTTCAACTAACACAACACTGTAAACCAACTATATTTCAATTTTGAAAAATACCCCATTCAAAAACAACAACAAATCCTCTTTTCCAACATAAGAATAAAATACACAGCTCACAAGTGCAATTGCTACGAAATCTACCATTCTGCATTATTCATCCTACTGCTCTGTCCTTGGTGATACGCTTACAGAAGCAAATCCCGGTGGGGAGCTTACCTTCGTGGCGTACGTGGGTTTATCTATGGCTTCATCCCCAATGAAAAAGTCCAGGTCGTCAACTCCCCTCAGCACCCTCCTTTGGGCTTGGTCGACCACCTTTGCCGACTCTCTGATGGCAATACCTTAGGGAGAACAGCACAAAGACTTCTGTCACCATCCACACTCATTTCAAGGATCAAGGAAGGATAATATAGCCCCTGTGTATGTACAAGTACATCTTCAGTATCAGGGTCTTATTTGGAGTTGAGTGTGTTCACAGAAAAGACACTATCACAGAGCACATAAAGTAATACAGAAACATTTCTTATGTTCCGGTATTATTTTCAGCATGGCACAAAGGGACTTAGCTGGTTCTGCTTTTAATACTGACAAAAGCTGCATTACTAAATTTCTCAGTTTCATTTGAAAAAAATCCCTCAGGATAGCGAAGTGAAGTGCCCGTGGAGCACATATCAATCAGTTCCGAATTTTAAAACACAATGTAGAAGGAGACAAAATTAAAAATATAACACAAAAGAAGAAAGTAAACTGAAAAATGCTCAGACCCTCTCAAGTCACTTTAATAAAACTCTGTGTCACATAGATTTAAAGTATATTTTTAGTCTTTTTACAAAACCCACTAAAAGAAAAAACTAAGAGGTTGCTGACTAATATCTGACAAAAAGAAAAATTCAATAACCAAACTGTACTATGTAAAAATATTAATGGCTTTATGATACATTACTTTACTAAGAGCTTAACTGTGATATTTAGGAATACACTTACAGTAAATAATCATATGAAAC